CCTCAGGCTGGATATTGGGGGTACTTTTCCAGTTTAAGCATGCCTATCATGTGGATGTCAAGGCCGCAATATTTTAATAGTTAGAGTATGATTGAATTTTAAAAAACGCGGAAGACGGGACGCATTTTATTTTTAACATTTTATTGTTTGCTTATCGAACTATTTAAGGCATATGTGTACAATTGCTGTTAAGGGGTGCGATTCACATACATCATGCGTGTTCATTAGGGCTACGAGTACGGAGTAGGAACACATATATTAGCGACATTTCTATTTCTAGGAACTTTGAGGAAACAGAATAAAGTAAGGCGGGATGTTTTGTAGTCAGGTGGGAGAGGATGAAGATCTATTAATTAATTTTGTATGGCCTAAAGAAGCGAATATGGTGTCGTGTAAAAACATCGGACAATCTCATTTTAGCCGAATGCTACAAATTGGTCTTTGAGAATTTTGTTTTATTGAATATGCTAGCCGTGTATAATATTGCCTCATGGAGAAAATCACTGGCCTGTCATTATTTCTGTAACTGACAGTGCAGCCGCGAAAAGCTGCAATACTACTGATGTGGCTTTAAGCAATATTTACTCTCTCACTGACAGTGATATTTTGTTTCCAGCCTCCGGACACTTTAATGTTTTCACTATCACTATACATTCATGTACACAACTTCTTTTGTTAAATTATATTGAACATGTTGAGGGTTTTAATTTAAAGTACACAGGAAACTGTACAAAAGGGAGAGGACTCTACTCTACATAGGACTTTGTGTATGTAAATTACATTATACATAGCATTTTCAAGCTCAAGTCATAATTTTGCTAAATGCGACTTGGAGAATGTAGAGCATGAAAGAAGCATGTCCTCTGAGAAACCAAACCAGCACGTATGTATAATAATGTGAGAGCAACGATCATAATCGGGAGAATCCGGGATTCCAAACTACGATGAGCGAATTCTCGATCTCCCGGTTGAGTGACTCACCCATGCAGGGAGAAGAGTGGCGCATTCGACTACTATGCTCGTGCCCTATAATTCGGCTATACATCGGCTTTATCAGCCTTTTTAAAACTTTGTTAGTGAAGGCAATGTATATTTAATATCCCTTTGTCGTCTACTACCACAGCCAAACATGATTTTCAGATAAACACAATCATCATCTTTACCTGTATTAACACCTATAGCTAGTGATTGCGTTGACATTTAATCCACAATGCTGAGGTCGCCTACAAGGAAGTAAGGCGACATGAAATCACCTGTATGCAGGCATACATACACTTATGACCATCCGACCAGAAATGTGTTTCTCCGTGGTACATAGAAAAGAAATGTAAAGACATGATTGTAATGAATGTACTTCTCACACAATATCGACGTAATAGATATAAAGCCAGCAAGCAGCAAGCATATAAGGGTGATGATTAATAAGTACGAAACTTTGTAGTCGTGCTGACAAGCCGCGGTTTGACGCGTGTGTTGAGTACGTTCAACTTGGTATTTGTGACCGTATTGCTTGCATACTTGTGAACGTGTATCTGAGAGCAAATCACACAACTAATCAGTAAAAAGTGAAGATACAACAGAGCTTTCTCTCTCTTGGGATTATCCTGTGTACCGATAACTGAGATGACTACAATCACAAATTGTTCTCTCCACAACATTTTGGCTCAATACCTTGTACGGTTCCTCGCATACATGTGTTTTCCCACCTCACACAAATCTGGCTTTGCATTTCCTTTTTTGAAGAGTATATATACAGACTGCATCCATGGTATTGTTGATAGAGCGCCTGCACTGAGAGCGGAATGTTGTAGGTTCGATCCCCAGCCCCGTCGTCCAGAAGTGCTTTAAAATATATTACTTGTTGTTACCCTGCCTGGCGCTCGGTAATAAGGGGCTAAAACAAAATAACTGGTCTTCTCGGAGTCAGGATACTGTGTCTGAGTGGGGTATTCATGTTACACTGCGGCATATGGTCGCTCAGCTGCCTGGTATATTTTTATTAAGGTAAGAGTATATTCATAACCAACTGTGTCCAAAGGAAACACTATAGACTAGTACAAGCAGCAACTCTCTATCTCTCTCGTTTTGTTCAGATATTTTATACACTGTATATGTATAACTGTTTCAATGTAAACTTACACAAAACTTTAGAGGGAGTATTTCAGTTGTATATATTTGCTGTATGCATACACATACAGGGTTTAAACTAATTTGGAACAAAATTAGGTAATGCTGACAAAGTGGACCCATTATAGTGATAATAATCCGAGAACCTAAAGACGTTTACCCTTTGTCAATATTTAACGAAAGGATCGTCACTTAACACGTTTAAATTGTCCAATATGCACGCAGAATCGCACAGAAACAGTCCCCTACCAGAAAAAGACGATATTAGTACGGACAAGCTTCGCGAAGATTACACAAAAACCTATCCTTCTCAAAATAAGTGGGTATCCTGCTGCATGAGTATTGTTTATGTGGAGATATGCATTGCAATGGTTTTACCAGTCTCTGTGACAGTCTTGTTCTAAAGTTCTGTTCAGAAATAGGGGGTGCCACCAATTATCAGGAAATGTTCACCATCCAACATCGTGCCTGTAGCGCTTTCAAGTTTGTTTGCAAATATATACATAAGTCATGGTGCCGTCGTTGGAGGATATATGGGTATATCCCGTCATGAGGTTAAGTAGAGACAGCATGGCCTTGGTCCAACCGTTGGAGTAAATCATGGAACCGTATTGTTATTAAAATGTTTGCCGACTTTAATTTGGTATTACGGATATTTATAACGTAGAGGGAAGTTATCAGTATGAGAGAGAGAGAGAGAGAGAGATATTCTTTATTTCCTCCAGAAGTTAATCCGAAGATTATACATAATTAATCAAACGTATTCACACAGACTCATATTACCTGTACATATATACAATAAAAGACAGTAGCACCAGTGTCATGCCATTCACACATTACAAAAGGTTAGATCAGATGACATAATCAAGGTAAGGCTTTAGTGTAAGTACATAAGCAGAAAATATCAGTATAACAGATTCCCATGTAACTTTATCAATACATTGTGAGAAGTGAGTATCAGCACCAAAGATAAATGACAACACATCTTCTTCATCTTGTAATTCCAACTTGACATAGGTTTCAACATCAAGCAGATCAATAAAGGTTGAAAACAGTTCATTTCTTACCTGCAGTAGAGCTTCACAATGTAATATGATGTGATTATCATAATCAAAGGCATGCTTGTTACACAATAAACAGTCCCTGGAAGTTTTGTTACGTGATGAAACTCTAACACAAAATGTTAAACTTGACCTCTGTTCTGGGTACTGATATGCTAGTTGCCATAATATATGGAGTGTAAGCTTTGTGTGTATTAGCATGAAGCGTGAAAGACCTGTATTGACAGAAACTTTTCTGCGCCACATATTTTCTTCATATTCATGAATGGTTTTATTTACCAGTTGCTTCCAGTTTCTCTTTGTAGGAAATACACCACAGCTTATATATGTACAAAGGTTGTTTCGTAGGTTATACTTGTTAAGAACTGATAATAAATCTCCACATACAGATTTAGGATTAGTTGGTTTTGCAATGTATGCGCAAAAAAGATGTTTAACAAGACTGTTACAGGTTAAGTTACATAAGCGGCCAAGCAGCTGAAGTTTACAGTTATCGATATAGCCGATCATTGTCCAAAGCCTAAGATTAGCAATAGTGGATTCTGATGGAGATCTTTTATCAAGTCCTTGTACAGTTCGCGCGAAATAGCGTTGAGTATTTTCAATGACATTAATGTTTTGACCTTTAATATCAAAGAGCAGTTCGCAGCCGTAAAAACTTGTTTTTAATATCATTCTTAACCAGATTTTTACACTGGTAGCTGGATGTAGCTCAGAACTGTTGAGTCCCACAGATTTTAACGAATTAATACGTTGTCTTGCTTTTTGGCAACATTTTTCAATACTTGATTTACATGACAGGTTATGCGTTAGTAGTATGCCACCATACATGACAGAGTCAGATGTTGTTATATTTATATCACCAAGTTTGCAATTAATATCTAACCCCTTTTGTTTTGTCTCAGAGAAGACAACAACATTACTTTTTGAAGGGTTATACGTTAGTCGCCACTTTGAGGCATATGAATGTACTGTATCAAGTGCGTTTTGAAGCCCTCGTGGCGATGTGCTCACAAGAGTTGTGTCGTCTGCAAGCAAAACAGTTTGAATATCTAGACAAAATACACAAATACCACTATTTGCTTGTCTAAGGGCTGTTATAAGGTCATTAATGAAGACTAAGAAGAACCAAGCAGAGAGAACTCTTCCTTGTCCGACACCTTGTCTTACATGGTATATATCTGACTGTTCACCCTGATAAGTAACAAAAGCATGGCTATTTGTATAGCTATGGTGTAATAACTTCCATGTATTTCCTCTGATACCCATTTGGTGTAATTTATAAAAATAGGGGGTGCCACCAATTATCAGGAAATGTTCACCATCCAACATCGTGCCTGTAGCGCTTTCAAGTTTGTTTGCAAATATATACATAAGTCATGGTGCCGTCGTTGGAGGATATATGGGTATATCCCGTCATGAGGTTAAGTAGAGACAGCATGGCCTTGGTCCAACCGTTGGAGTAAATCATGGAACTATATTGTTATTAAAATGTTTGCCGACTTTAATTTGGTATTACGGATATTTATAACGTAGAGGGAAGTTATCAGTATGGAGTTAAAATCAAATATCATGCGATTGCTAAATTTGCGGATTTATGACTTTTAACTTTTAACAAATGTCCACGTGGTGTGGACATGAATGAATGATTGTATATATATATATATAAGCACAGTAAAGTTCTAACTCTCAGGCACAATATAGTAATAAATTAAATAAGTTGAGAAAGATTGAACACAGTTTTAATAGGCTAGCGCTTTCAACTCGTACCACGTACGAGTCTCATCAGGCCATATATATATATATAACCAAATGATTCAAAATGCTTTTGAATTGGGTGCAAGGTTGGTTTTTCAATTAATAATACATGAAGTCAATAGCTGATATGTCTCAAATATAACTGTTATGCTAATTTGATCACGACATTGGTCCTGCAAAGGCATAATCATCAGAACGATGTCTAACTTTTCCTCCATGAGATGAACTCAGCGTTTCAGATTTGCTGTTTGATCCAGGGAAATGGTCATAGTCATTTTCATCAGTCTTGTTACTCCCGTGGAGCCGTGCTACTGCCTTTGCCGCAGAAGCGGTAGTGTCGTAGTCATTCTGGACTGTTTTGGTGTTTGTTTCCTTCTGGAGAAGATTATAGCCGTAGTCATCTTCTCGTGGATGTTCCCCAGTGCCTGCTGATTGGGCAACCGAGGCTGTGGTATAATAGTCGTTGGTCTGGGCAGATGGTTTGTCTCCGATATGATCATAATCGTCTTCCGTGGCAGAAGGTGCAGCATTCTGGTTTGTGTTTGGTTTAGTGACTGGTTCGATTGTGGAATAGTTGTTCTTATTAGGCGCAATAGCTATACCGTCCTCAGTAGCATAATCATAATCATTTGATCTGCTGTTTGTCTTCAGTTCGTCTATCTCATGGTAGTTGCTCTGTGGACTATTACCGGCCGAGCTATATGTGAAATCAGTCTTTACATCCTTGGACGGAGTTATTGTCTTCTCACTTTGATCAGTCTTGCGTCTCCTGAAAAGTTTAACATTTAATAGCGTAATGATGAACATTTTCTTCCTGACCGGAATACACTTTTGTCACCATTTTAAACAATATATTTGCATAAACATTTAGACTTTAACCTTAATAACCGAAAATGATGCTGGCAAAATACATACATTCATTTGTAATGACTGCATAACGTTTTTTATCAAATACATAAGGTTGTCCATCCCCATGGGGACGACTTATCGTGCATTAACAGCAACCATAATTCATACACAGCAACCATCGCTGACAGACAGCAACATAATGCATGCACAGCAGCCTCAGCTCAGGACCAGGAACAAAATTCATGTACATCAACCATCGTGCCAACCAACAGCAACATCACTATGGGAACAGCAACCATCGTGGAGGAAAAGCCATAACAATGAACGCAGAGCACCCATCGTGGACGAACAGTAACAATACAGATTGCATATCAACCATTGTGCACGAAGAGCAACAATAATGCATATTGGTAAAGCGACAAAACCCTTTCCATATCCAATGCATATCTAATATCTCTGCATAAAGCAGAGTCGATTCCAACTATATCAAGAGCATGTGTTTATGAATCACTATCAAATAGTAATGATACGTGGTGTTCGCGAAAAGATGAGCGTCTCTTGCCCCACCGGTTGCACCCGTCACAAACACATGCAAAGGCAAGTCAATTGTTCACCTGAAAAAGCACGGGAACATATGGTACGAGTCAAAATAGGGAATTCGACGGAGATAATTTCTGTCATTGACGCGTCAAATTTATAGCATCTGTCGTGCATTTGCTACTTACCGTTTTCGTAAATACCACACCAAGGTTAGTGGGATAACAATAAGAACCAGGATTGTGGTCACAACTCCACCCACAACTGCAAGTAAATAAGCATTATAATAAATAAGTAAATACATTATATAATTTTGATATAATTTTGAAAATGTTCTTCAAGTACAATGTATACTGTGTTCGATCTTCTCGCCGCATCTGAGAAAAAGACGTTACATTTTGGAACTTGTTAGTTTGCCTTCAACTCGGCATAACGGGGATAAAACAAAGACAGGTGGGTTCGAAATCCGTTCAGTGTGTCTAAGTGGAGTCTTCAAGTTAAACTGGGACATCATTTATCAGTGGGCACTATAAACCCGGCATAAATATGGATTAGCACAATAAGACACACACACGCGCACGTGTATGCACCTCGATATATAAATGCCATAATCTTGAACGTTAAGCCCCATTTCACCTCATCACCTCACAATAACATTATAAGTGAATCAGTAATTCTTGCTGCTTTAAAACTTGTATTTCAACATTCCATTCTTGGCATGAAATAAGTTTTGTTTGGAGGATGATAAACTGTCGATTAATTGTCTAGAAATTGTCATCTATAAGCATAGTTCCAGATGTAGTTAGATATACGAGGATTGGATTATATATGCATTTATCATTCTATGAAATCGACGGGAAAGTGTCTCGACTCACAAAGAAACTAATAACAGGTAATGTTTACTTTAAAATGTAAATCATGGACTACAGTATATATTAAGAGTTTATAGGCACTAAACTGTATTTACAAACCTAGAGGGCACCTTCCTTTCGAAGAGGGCATAGCACTGTGTCTTAACTGATTGCATCTCCCATTGGCGTGGGTCATTGCTAGTGCTTTCATTCACTTGCGTATCGTTTAATTCACCATTTGTCATACCCAGAGGGTACATCAGTCAATGATTATATTGATGATGAGGATGCCTCAGTCTCTCGTACAAGTTTTGACTAAGCAGTGACCTTAGTCCAGCAATTTGTGTCCAATGGATAAGCAGGATTTTGATCTCTTAGGTTTATTTTTCAAGGATAACTAGTATGTAGATGGGATGGGATGCCGCACCAGCTGTGCAGTGTTTAAAACAGTAGAAAGCTTTATACACTCGGCTACTTTCAATGCAGGTTGAAACAGGGGGCATTACTTCACAATTTGGATGACATTCATTTTGGCAGCTCACCTCACACTAGTCATTGACAAGGCGCTCCGGACACCTTCATGTTGCTCTGTCAAAAGTTTGGAGTTCCTATTGCTAGTGAGAAGACAGTACATCCATGTACTCGTTTGACATTCCTTGGAATTGAAATTGATATAGGGGTGAAGTGACATGGCTGGACGCTTTAAGCTGTCACAATGGAATTGCAGTGTTCCAAGACCAATACTGGAAGTCAAATGACTCTCGACATTTATTTACTGATAGTGCGGGTGGCGAGTATTGTGGATGTGGTTTGTACTTAAAATGTATGTGGGCAGCTGGATTATGGAATTGAGACTCCAAGGTTACACCTTAACATGGAATTTTACCCAATATTTGTGGCAGTTCAATTTGGGGGGAACATCTCACAAACCAGGAAGTGATGTTTAATCCTGAAAATCAGGCACTAATGGATATACTGAAAAGGTTAACATCGTCATTACCGAGAGTAATGGTTTTAGTCCGTTTGTTTACTATCAAATACTCGAACCTTAACAAAATCGTGAAATCGCAATATATTCCAGGGTGTTTCAACAGCATAGCAGATTCGAATTCTTTATCCCCCTTTCAGTTGCAGCAGTTTCGGAATATAGCACCTCAGATTCTCTTTGGCAGATATTGAAGACGAGGCTAACAGGCTATTAAGTTTGTCAGTATCTAAAAGACGTACAGGTATGCGTTGCATGGATTTCAACTGTTTCGTTTCAGCAATAACCTAGATCTGACCTGGCCGGCACCAGTTTCGCAGATTTTTCATTACGTAGAAAACCTATCATATGAGGGTCTCCAGAAACAGCTTATCAACATATCTCAGCTATCAGTAGATTTCATAAATGAGTATCATTATCAGCCCCTTCAGAGACTTAGCCAACCTATCATGGAGGGTAAGTCTCCAGCAACAGCTTATCAACATATCTTAGCTATCAGTAGATATCATAAATTAGCATCATTATCATCCCCTACAGAAAATTCTGTTTTCAAGAAGTTGTTACAAGGAATAAGGAGAGATGCTCCAAAGCCTTATACAAGAGCTCCTATCACCTTACCATTGTTAAAAGAGTAAACGGAAGCAATTGGTTTCATAGTCTGTGTACGAGGCTATTCAGTTTCAAAGTACGTTCTCCTTGTCATTCTTTGGATTCTTGCGCGTAGGTGAAATACTGAGTACCAGAGGCCCAGCGTATCGGTTTTGATAATTCGCATGTCCAGAACCGACTAAAAGGCAGCTCTGCCACTGCAAGTTGGAGCCCTAGCTGATGTTTCCATTTTCCCAGTGGCATTGCTGAGATTTGGATACAAGACCCTATTCATCACCCCAAAAGATTTTTTTCATATATATTGATGGTCTTCCAGTTACACGATTCCAGTTTTCTTCAATGTTTTCAAAAGCGTCAGGGTTTGTTTGTCTGGAGCACAATAAAAACAAGTCTCACTCTTTTCGCATCGGTGCAGCTACGCCTGCAGCAATACAGGGTATCCTTACTGATGTCATCAGGTTTTTGGGAAAGTGGAAATCGGATGCGTTCAAAAGATATATCAGAATACGTTTTATATAAGGAACTGTTACGTTTAATTTGCATGCTTATAACCTGTCAACTAAGTTTTTCTGACATTTCTTCCGATGTGAATTGGGCTCAGAAGAATTCACGGCGGTTAGGGTTTGGGAAGAATGTGCGACTAGACCAGCTGGGAGCTGAGGTGAAGTGGCTTGGCAAGCGAGGAATGAAGATGGAGACCATGCATCAAGAACAGACTCAAGACACATCTTCCTCCACAGGTACTTGTATTACATCTTGGATCAAATGATCTAGTCAAGGATAGTGGTGTAGACTTAAGTAATAATGTAGAGGGTGTGGTTTCTGGTATCACAGAGTCTATGCCTGAAACACTACTGGTGTGGTCGGAAATTCTACCTAGAAGGGTGTGGCATGGAGCACATGGAGCGGGACTGCTATTGAACGGAAGAGAAAGAGAGTAAACGGTTTCGTTACGAATCTAATCTGCAAAAAGGGGGTGTCGAATTAAGCATGATATGACAGCAAGCGATTCAAACATATCGCAATAATGACATTCACCTTTCTGATGTGGGGATAGCTATTTTCTTACATGCAGTACAGGACGTACGGGAGAGTATGTGTTAAAACTGTTCTACTTGACTTACATTGGTGGCGGCGATCCCATAGGTATGGAATCGGTGGCGGGACCCTGGGGGACATAAACATGATTCACGTAATTGTTAGGTTAGCAATGATGGCATTATCAAAAGTATGGTGCTTTCATACCTGTCTATGCGATACCCTAGCAGGGCTAAAGGTCTTTTGTTATGATCGAAATTCGAAAATGGATTTGTTTATGCGATGTCCCTCACAGATAACATTCTCCAATAAGGTAGGTTTGTCGTAGCCGGCGGCTGGCTGGCTGTGGCTTTACCGGCGGGTGGCCAGAAGTGGTGGTTACCGGCGGCTGCGCGCAGCTGGCCAGGTTGTGCAGATTTACCAGATTGCAGTCGGCGGCTTGTCGACTTGGCGGGGGCGTTACTCAGCTTTGGTGACCCCAGTGAGACAAGTCCCACCTGTTGATGCTCTCGGCTGCTCACGTATGATATATCGGCGCTCAGTTATTATTTTATTATTAATCTTAAATCTCCCTCCAGGGTTTCGTCACAAATATTGTAACAAACTGCGCCCATATTTTATTTCACATAAATACTGCGTGCGTGGTTTATACTGATTATGAGGAAGCTTCATGAAGGACCATGAGTTTCTCAAGGTTCAATATTTGTTAAGTTTAGTATATAATCTTGTCAGGATGATAATATAAAACTCTTTGCAAATGCTGTTCGACAACCGAGCGTCATCGAACCGCATTCAAGACTTGACTTGACACGTCTAGTTGTGTCGATCTCTAACATATTTAAAAAAACCCACCTTAAATGTTCATGCCAAAATGGTAGACAAATATAAAGTTATTATGTTCACATTAACTTGTGGTGTGTTAGATAATTTCAGAATGATTTGTGAAAGAAATTCCGATTGTCATGTGTACCTTTTCATAAATACAGTTCTTTATTTAATATATATTGCCGTGCACAAGAATAATTTCCTGCATTTGACCATTATACCTGCTGGTGTTTGCGTTCTTCCTTCCATTGCTGGTGTTGAAGTACAACTAGTTGTGGATTCTGTAACGACATACAAGTATCACAAATAACATAATGATCACGGACATCTTTTCGACTATGGCGAGTTCCAAAATATATAAAACAGTGCTCGTTTGGTACTAAATCGTCTTTGTAAAAATAAAATATTTTAAAAATTGTCAAAAATTCACATTTTTTATTTCACTTTATTGACAGTAAACATGAAATGAAATACAGATCTACTTTGGCCACCTTAATCTTTAAATTTGTATTTCAATGATCCGTATATAAAATAATAGTGAGAATAATTTCTGAAGCTTGTCAAAGTTAAGTAAAACCAACTAAACATAGTGTTAACAGGAAGAACGAGGGCGAAATTAACTCGTTATCATGGTGCATATCAACACAGACAGTTGGGATGCTATTAATGTCGTGTGAAGTCGAATAACTTTCGACAGATGCATGAAACGTTGTGTAGGAGTCCTTAACTGGCTGACTTTAATGACAGACTGCTCGTGAAAGTGAGACGACAAACATGAGCAAAAATCCACGTTATTGGATACGATTACACACATTCATCGATGTCTCAGAGCCTTGGGAGACGTTGACTCTTTAGTCAGTTCTTTGGCTAGGCATGAGGTCCTGGGGACACACACTGACCATGGATCCCCGCACGGTTTGTGTGCTTGACGTCATCATGTGTCTTTCCGCTGTCTACAGTGTTAATCACCGATGTCTTATTGGAAACCAATGAAGTGTAATCGTAAACGGGCCACGTTCATATTTTTGTGCATTGTCCTCAAGCGTTTGGAATGTAAATGAATTAACATCACAGCATGTTCATGTCTACTCTTTTATGGTCATTATCCTCTATGTTTGTACACTCCCATAGCATTGAAATATGAGTGAACACACTATCGTATCCTTACCTTCACAGCATTCATATCTCACAACAGAGAAAGCAGGATGTTTATTTCGTCGGGGTGCACGATACGTACAACTTGTACATGTAGAGCAGTTGTTTTTGAGGGAAGACATCTCAGTGGTGTTGAAACTGTGCTTTCCGTCTTCTGTAACAGTGTCCGGTGTCACTATATTGCATGCAGAGAGACCGTGTATCGAACACTCGTTGTTGTTTGTGTAGTAGGCTTCTTCTATGCTGATCGTCTGGTTGTTGTTGCAGCTGATATTGTGTTCAGTGCAGGGAAGGCCAGCATATCCATAACATGCTTTACTGGTATGTGTTGTGCCTACAAGAAAGACACATCAAGAACATGTATGAACATTTACCGTGAGCTGCTGATTTTGCGTACAGTACATGCGAGTACAATATTACCATCAAAACATCTGAAACTAATACCGATAAGTGAAGAGTCCTTTCTTGAGAAAAAACCCATTGTGTTAAAAAGCCATAAGTTAATATCTGGAGGCCACGACATTAACACTGTAATCATCTCTCCGTATACTATTCCATCCATAACTGTACATGCATCCTTTAATGTGTATGTATTCACATTTAATTCTACATGTTCATCTATCTCAAATAATGTAAACAGGTATAGGTATAGGTTTCAATGTGATTAATGTGTTATGCATTAATGACACCTCTGAGGCCAGATTGTTTACAATTTGAAATATGGACGAAATTTGTAATGTTGGTAATGAGTTATTGTGATTGATACGTATTAAAACACTCAATGGCGGTTCCTGAGGTTTTAATTAAGATATGAGCTTGATCAATCCATAAGAGATTGATACAAGATCGATTAAGACATATGAAATGGTTGTCTTTATTCACTGACAAAGTTTGTTCGGATAGGTTGTACGTAGTTTGATCGAATCTGACCAGTGAATCTAGCATTCGCACCACCATGGATTCTCATGAAGTCAACTGACTATAACCTTCATAACCTCAGGCTTTCCTAACGCCGTTTTCAACAATACTTAAGATATTTAACGGCCACACAGCAGGTCTTAGACCTTTTCCCCAAGGTGTTCAGTGCAGCAAAGGCCAGCAGGTCCATAAGATGCTCTACTGATAAGAGTTATGCATCTTGTAAAGACACATCAAGGACATCTTGTGTTTGTTTGTTGTTGTTCAACGCCGCACTCAGGAATAGTCGAGTTATATGACAGCGATCTGTAAAGAAATGAATCTGGATCAGAGAATCCAGTGATTTATATCATGATCATCGATCCACGCAACTGGGATACGATGACATGCACCAATAAGTCAGCGAGCCTGACCACCCTCTTACGACAAACATAGTCGCCTCTATGAACCTTTATCGCGAGCAGCTGATTCGTCGTGCGTTGCATGCGAGGCCACATTTACCACAAAATGCTCTGAAAATAATATAACTGGAGTGTTTCCATTCCTCAAAGTCTTTTCTTGATCCAACAATGTGTTGAAGCCATGAGTTATTACCTAGGCATAAACACGTTCAGAAGGAAACCTGCATATACTGAAACTTCCACTTATAACTTTACCTTCATCAATTGTATTTAGACACATTTGATTTCTGTAATAACTACCTCAAATTATAAAAAATACAGGTATGTATACAGAATAGGGTGATCGGTCAATAATTGTTTTCAGATTACCACCAGGGTGAACTGTGAACTATTTAATATATCATCTTCCCTTAAAGATTATTTTACATTGAGGTTCTAAGATAATAAAAAAAATTATTTTCAGTAGAAAAGCCACCATCCCATGATCGAGGCTTCGAATGCCAGATACGCCTACATGATAATCCTTAGATTATCAGCACAATACCTGTACCTCGTGGGTTTCACCAACGAACAAAACGTCTTAGACCTGCGTCAGTTTAGATATTATATTTCCTTTATCTTAACACGCTCCTGAAATGTCACCTATACCCTAACATTGAGAGCGTACACACAGACACAGCGTATGCATGGAAGTTGCATAAAAAGCGTGACCTAATGATTCCCTTTATGCAGATATACAGCAAGAAGTACACGTTTGCGACTAATGTGAAACCCATCAGCACGTCAGAAATTTTATGAGAGCAAGGGTTATTATCATGGCGAATCTGGGATAATAAACTACACCTGTAGGTCACAACATTTGTTTATTGAGCTTTGTCGGAGGAGACCAAATATGTCTGTATTTGTAAGTGTAAAATAACAACAACAATAGAAACCGCTATGACATACAAAACCCTTAAGTTTACATTTTCAAAATAAATAGGGGGCACGGGTGGCCCAGTCGTCTAAGGTGGCGCGATTCGCTGTGCAGAGTTGCGTCCCTTGGGCACGCCAGAAACCTATGATTGTGGGTTCGAATCCCGGTTCGCCCCGATTATGTTTCTAGGTTTGTCAGCACCATACCCGTGCTCGTGGGTTTCACCGAAGTGGTAAACGTCTTAGACCTGCATCACTTCGGGCTTTCCTCCCACATTAAGCTGGCACGCCGTGATATAACTGTAATACTGTTAAAAGCGGCGTTAAACCCAACTCACTCACTCACTCATAATAAATATCTGATCAAAGCTGTGTCCATTGTATGACTAGATCATGTATTTATGAATCACTGTGGGCATCATAAAAACAAGGCCACATCGGCTACATAACACTTTTCTTAACGGAGCTTTGTCACAGAACCCCAGGAACAAATGTATTTAAGATCCCGTTTGTCGCCTACTGTCACAGTGTTAACAGCGAAGCGGTACAACTAATTTTCCGATAAAAGCAGTTGTCCTGACCTGTATTAACCGAGTGAAGGGTGAAACATAAAACTGTGATATATTTCCAACATCTCAAACACGTAGACATTTGTTGGCATTCAACTTGCCATGGTGAGGTCGTCTACAAAGAAGTAAAGTTATAGCACGAGACACGGGTGTCCTAATTCACATTCGCGTTCGAGACCGAGGTATATGTGAACACAATCTTTTGTGCAAACTCCCATATCTCCTTACTCTGTTGGTATACGTTCTCTGTGGTTCAGTTCAGCACAAAGTGTCATGTGAAGCGCATCAATGTAAAGTTTTACATGGCAGCTACGAATGCTCTGATCTGTTGTGCAGTTGAATAAGTCAAGGCTATATAAGATAAACGTCATGAAGAGATGTAGAAAGGCTTTTCAATGATATTCACAAGAATAAGTGACGCATGAAATTGAAAGCAGGACGTTATTTCTGCTTTTACAAATTCATCCACTTAGGCATAAATGAAGAATAAATGTGACTTTCGCATTCATATATTACACTTCTCGTTCAAATGTTGTATCTTGTAACATTGACCTTCTTCTGACGCACCTATATCGTCACGTGGAACATTCCATAGTAGGGTATACTGAGTTATTATGTGCGTCTTGGTAAGTGTCTGTGACAAAGATCTAAGAGCTTCATCGTACACGTCAGCTGGATGCTGACATAATGCCCCTGTAGAGGACTTTAGCGTCACTCTTGTTTTTTTTCATATTCTGTGTTGATATTTGCAAAATACGCATGTCACAACAAACAAATGCAATCTTGTAAAGGCAGTACGTCATACATGCATCTTTAATGCGAAGTTGGGAGTCTATATTTTGTCACTTCAAAATTCCGTGCAGTCCTGGCCTTTGAGCTCCCGTGCGTAGTGTGTCAATGATATTAATATTATATTTACTACTATTATTTACATATTTGATCTTGCGGGTTATCACAGTTGTCACACACTATGTTGTGTGTGACAAACGTAACGTACTTATTTGTTCAGTTTTATATTCCCTTTCGTTTCAAAGACACTTGATTCAATACCGTTTATGCACCGATATATATTCTGCAAAAACGAAATCCAAAAGTAGTAAAATCGTGAATATCTGAAACAGTGCTGCTGACATCAATACAAAATTAATGCGAAAATTGAATTGGTCATTTCTGCATGGATTGGGATTGACTTGCGTGGAAAGAATGAGGTACTGCAGATTTGGTAAAAAGGTGGAAAGAGCCTGCCGCGGAAAGACACCAACATGACATGCACGTGCAACATCACTTGTTGAGCAATACAAACTTTGGGTTTTCATTTGCATTCATTCCATCACAATCAAACAGCAAGTGATAAGCGAAAACATGCCACGACTAACGGAAGCCCAACGCAACAACGCCATTGGCGACTGCAAACAGAAGAATCATCTTCAGCTTTGGCCAGGCTTTTCCACATAGCACCAATGCAAGCACCATTACAAAACTAGAACCGTTATCATACACAGGGGACAACACTTCCCCGATCCTGTCGAACACGTATCACTTATAGAGCACAGGAAAGATTCATACGACTGCGGCAACACTGGGGTTGCTAGGAAATCAGCCCAGACAGTGAGGAACCGTTTACGCGCTGAAGGTATTTGCGCTAGACGAACAGTTCGAGGTGTCATTTTGACCTGTATCGCCCGCCGCGACGGCAATGGTTTCACGGCCACAGAGTAACTGCGATGGACACAAGTTTAGATTTATGCTTCTCCGTGCGAATGGTCGGCGTCGTGTTTACTGGCGTCGCGAGGAACGTTATGCACGTAACTTCATACAAGAAGTGGACGGGTTTGGTGGTGTTATTGGGGTGATGTGGGAAACCACACCGGTATAACAAACTCGGTGCAAGTTCTGGGGATTCTGACGGTTCTCCGGCAACACGTCCTTCCCATTATGCAACAAGCGAATGTCATTTTCCAACGCCCGCCCTCACACGGCAAGACTGGCAACAGCCTTTTTCGGGAATCACTGCATCCAGGTCCTGCCATGGCTCCCCAGGTCTCCAGATTAATCCCAATCGAACATTTATAGGTGCACTGGATCAACGACCGCGATCACGTAAACAACAACCTAGGAAACTCCGACAGTTGGCACAGAGACTGCAGACAGAGTGGGTGAACATTCCCCATGCCACAACTAGAGATCTGATTCATATATAAACAATATACTAGGTACGTGTCAGAAAGATGAAACTCGAGATTTTTGAAAAAATTCATTCTTGTGTCTATTTTTAAACATAAACACAGCATACGCTGTTATGTCTGTTGAGAGAGACACGAACGTTTTCTGATGCTGCTGCATCAGGATATATTAAGAGAAACCTGAAGGTACACGTATTTACATGTACGTTATACATTTAGTGGATAACACTGTTTATACGATACTTTGTAGTACAAGTACAACAACAATAACCCAACACAAAGAACACCGTATGCGTCAGGTCTCCACAGCAGGCCGACGTTATCAGGTTGACGTTACAAGGAAGTAAC